TCGCTATAGTTTCCGGAGTTAACTCGATTTTACTGGCCAACATGGAGCTCTGGTTGCATGCATTGTTTTTGCGATTTTTGTTTTTGCCAAGGGGAGTGAATAGCTAGGATATAATAACAGGAGCAGGAGGCTTGAGGCGAGGGTTTGAAAGAGTGAGACAGAATGCAGCCGCAAGCCAACAAAGCATTGCAACAGTCGGCGGGCGGAACTGCCCTCTAAGTACCCCCAGCGTTACTCATTTTCCATCCACAACATTTCCCAGTAACTCCCCCTTTCCCCTTGCCCCTTTCCAGTCCGTTGAAGACGTGCAAATTATTGCCACGGCGGAATTGGGTCAACATGGCGACCCTTTGCACCTCCCATCCCCTTTCCCGGTGCTCAACCCCCGCTAACAACCCAATCGTCACTTGTTTTGTTCTGGCGCTTTGTTGTTGCCAAATTAAGGGTTGCCAATGCCACCTAACTCTGTCTACATCTCCACACTGCGAGAAAGTCCCTTGAAATGTGGGACATTTTCAAGAATAAAATCAGAATTATTTCTTTAAACTGAAAATACTAAAACTATTAAAAGCAAATCCTATCTCATACCATTGTCAGAATAAAAAACTGGTCTAAAATTAAGAATATATAATCTTAGAATTGATTCAATCAAAATTAAAAAGAATTTAAATGAATGAAAACAATTTTAATATTGGTTTAAGAACCTTTTTTTAAAAGTGTCTATATATTTTTAAATTGTCCCAAAAGTGACAAATAAAACATTTGTTTATAAGGCTGGAGGAATAAATTAGCCTTTTGCATAAAATGTGGACTTATCTTAAATCTTTGCCTTCATAACAACCCTACTAAGGATATTAAATCTATTAAGTTCCGAATGTGATTTCCTTCAAGTGGATCTTTGTTTTTCCTGTCAGGAAAAGTTCTGCGTTGTGTGCGTTTCGCCATTTAGCATTTAAATGCGGCGATGGCGTTGAAACTGTCTCCCTGCTGGTTGTTTGCTTTCCGCCCATTGGCGGTGGGCGTGTCAAGATCCATTTGCATATTAACCCCACCAGGGCCACCAAAATCCAGAGGATCTTTGAGTTTTTCCTTTTACCAAATGGGGGGAAAAACCCGTTGACATTTTCTATTTGCCTTGGCCGCTGGTTTTGCTTTGTTTTCCCTGTCGCCTAGTTCAAGGCAAACCTTTTTCGGCTAGTCTTGGTTCCAATTTCTTTTCGCCCATTCTTTCTCGTCCTCTTTGGCGTTTTGTTTCTATGCTTTATGTTTCTTGTGTTGGGCTTTTAGAGCAAATGATTTGGCTGTGATTCGGGTTCTATTTTGTACAAAACTCAGTAGAGAAACAATGGAAAATGGCAAAATTTTCGGTAAAGGAAGAGGGCGACGGCGTGCAGCTGAGCTTTATGTTTAGCAGCAATTGCAATTGCAATTTGTGTGAAAACCGAAACCAAACAAGCAGCAAATCAGCAAACATAAGCACACACACTCTCAGACAGACAAAACGCATAGAGTCACGCCCACATACATGCGTTGCCTACGTGACCTCCTTAGGCGCCCACCGCCTCCTTGACCGCCCCCCACAACCTCCTCTCGCCTTTCTTCCCACCACTTTACTTGGACTGCTTCAAATTCACTTCACTTCGTTATTTTCTCTAGTAATTTTCTCATACCTCCTACCCCACAAAAAAAAAACACCACCCAGCCACTCACTCTCGTTGAGGGCTTTGCGCCAATTTTTTCATGTTTTCATGCGTGTTGCGTGCACAACAATAACAAGAGCTAAAAACAAAAACAAAAACAAAATAAAAACCAGCAACAACAATGACGAGGATGATTGTTAAAGTGTGGCAGGCACCAACAACAACAATGGGCAACATTGTATGGCGAAGTCAAGTGCCTGGCAAAGGCAATCATACACACACGCACACACACACACATAAACACACACACAGATACGAAACGCACACAGGCAAATGTACGCATAAAATATGTATGCGTCTATGCACTAGTATTTGTGCCAGTTTTCATTGCATAACGCTAGGTAACCTGGCACTTTTCCTTTTGTGCGCCTGAAAAGCCCAGAGTTCACTTATTTCATATTTCTTTTATTTTCTTTTCCCCACTTGCGTTTCGCTCTCGAATTTCCGGTAATGAAAACCCCGTGCAACAGCCCCTTACTCTCACTCCGTTTTCACCAAGTTTTCCCATCCTGAGTTTTCGCACCCAACTTGTGAGGTACCATTTGTTTTACTTCTAGATTTCCTGCAGAGAAATAAAAAATATAAGCATAATATAAACGTATTTATTTGAAAAGGTGAGCCAATCGAAAAGATGTGTGCTAATTTTATTGCATTTCATTTATTACTTGTAAAAAACGGATAAGTCGGTCCCGAAATACACCTTTATCCAATCTTGCTGGGGCTCCTGTGTCAAGTTGTTTTATACAACATTTTTATTGTTGTTGGTGTTATAAATCTTTATAACACAACTTTTTCATAACTTCCAAAATTATACCAAAAAATTGTACTCATTTATTTATAACATGACTAAAAGAATTTCTAATAAACTGTAGTTCTAAATATTAATCTCATTTATGAGTAATGACATTTCATTAAATTAAACTCGAAATAAACACGTAATGTTCAGAATGATTCACTAAACTCAAAAAATACGCGAAAAGTTATGTTTGATAGGAAGAAAACCAAAGGCTTCATTGGGTTGTGTGCTGTGTGAAACCTTTTTTTCCATACTTTCTTCTTAAATAAGATTGGTTTAGATTTACACTTCTTTAAAAACTGCCGTACAAAAATTTCTCCAAGTGTTAATTTATTTTTGCTGCTGTTGCACTCAATTTTTGGATCATTGTGTCACTAATAAGAATCAATGAGTAAGTGGCCTATACGGGAACATGTGAGCGAAGTGAAGTAAAGCAAATTGGAGCAGTGGAAACCCAATTCCATTCATAATAGCCTGTCAACAGGGCGTATTGTTGTTCATTTCGCTGTTATTATTTCTATTGTAAACTGATATCGCGAAACAAGTTGCAAAAAAGGGGGGAAAAGAGAGTAAAACGATGATTATTTGATTGTCCTGCACTTCAAGCGCTCGATATGTAATTATGGTTTACCCAAAACTTTGTGTAAACAAAGTGGGAAACCGAACTGGGAATTATCCCAAAACCAATTGTTTTCCATTTGCGAACTTTTGTAAACAGAAACGGAATGCCATCGCCTTCCCGCTAGTTGTGTGGCATCATAAATTCCCCTGTCAACCAAATACCTCGATGAAAATAAATAAAGTCGACGTAAAAAGTCGCTCCCTCAACAGAACGTAAGAGTAGAAATGGAATGGTGGATTGAAACCGAAACCATGGGCTTTGGACTTATAGCATGACGCATCCGATGGATGGAACAGAGAAAAGATACAGAACAGAACCGAACCAGACTGTAAAAAAGACAATCAGATGGCAAAATGAGTGGAGGGCCCAAACCAGATGTGGGCAAACATAAATAAATAACACATTCGAAACTAATCCCCATAATCAATGCAAGCGCGTGGCTGCTTATCGAATAAATTGAAGAGATGGGAAAGAATCAATTCCAATATCAGACAACTGTCAATTCACTGAGCAAAAAACACAAAGTTAATGGCTTTGGGAATTTTCAGCTGACTTTACATTTGGTCCCCATAAAACCAATTTTGTTTGGTTTTAAAAACATTAACATGCGCCACGCAAAACAACCAATTAAAAATAAATTCAAACCAAACAAAACCAAACCAAAAAAACTGGACATTATTATTTGGAACAAAATGGACTTGTATATTATAGTTTTTTTTATTTGTTTTAATGTTCATAATGAAACAACGCTTGGCCTTTTAATAAATCGATTGAAATAAATCTTTAAATCGGTTCTAAATTAAGTTAATTATGTTGCAATAAATTCGAATAACACCATTTTTATGTCCAATTGAAAGCAATAACTTCATTTCACATTCCGAAAATGCATAAAATAATTGAATTTTCAGCTTTGTAGCTTTTTTTGAGATAAGTGAAAAAATTAATCAAAATTAATCAAACGAAAAACGGGCATAAAGCTGAAATTTATAGATTTCATGGGCAAACTAGAACGCAATAAATCGAATTGGGGAAACCCCCCGAACCCAAAGGCATTCCATATGGAAACAGGCAACTTAACCCTTGGCCTGCAGATACGAAATCCCATAATGTCTCCCCTTATTTCCCTATAGTTCTGCCCCTGGCAACAACAATTGCATTGTGCCACGCCTTGCGCCCAAGGGCAACTTCGCTGGCGTTTCGGGGCATTTGTCATGTATTTCCATTCGACGGGCAGCAAAAGTAAACATGGAAGTTTGTGAGTAAAAAACTAAAATTGCGCATATTTTGTGCTTGTGGGAGAGGGGGTGAATGGGTTGTGAAGCATGCGGTGGCAAACAGATGTACAAATGAGGGTCTGAAAGTGGGTGGAGTGGGGTCGAGGGGGGCACATGCACTCTTATACTGGAACACAATATTTTTACATTCTTCATTCTTGATTTAATGTTTTCTGCATTTCATTTCGAATGAAAAACAGTACAGAGTACTCACGTTCAGCAGCTACCATTATCAAATAAGCTGGGAACGATACTATAATTTTTAAATACAATTTTAAACTAAATAAATCATAAGGATTTTCACTTATAACATTTGAAGAAATTTTAGAACACGTTTTTATATCTGGAATTTCTTGAAATCATCAAAAAACTTTTTGTGAGGACATAAAAAAATAAATTCACTTATTTGAGGTTTAAAATAAAATGTACCATTTGCATATAAGCACCAACGTTCAATTTGTTCTCTGTGTAGCAGATATGCAAAAAATGCAGGGGCAAAACTACATATAAAAAGTAGGGATCCGGTGAAAAATTCTAATGCTGGTGTTTTTTTTTTTTTTTTTTTTTTTTTGTGGCGCTTTCTTTTTTGTTTGGCCATGTGCACCCACCTTATAGACATCGCCGTAGGTTCCCGAGCCAATCTTCTGGATGAGCTCGTACTCGTCCTGCGGATTTCTGCGTGAGATGTCCGAGCTGAGCAGATTGGCATTGAGGTGGCTGTGGGCGGCGGCCATCTTGCCAGCTTCCGTATCCGTTTGCCGTTGCCGTTTCCGCTTCCAGTTAGCCGATCAACTCCTTTTTCTGGATCCCTTTAAAGCTGGCTCTTACTCTATCTTCCTCTTTTGCACTCTTTTCGCCGCTCTTATTGGGTTTGTTTGATTTTTTTAGCACTCGTAGCAGGCGGTTATTAGAGATTTTTGGGGATCGAAATGCATTTTGGTTGCTTAAATTCACACTCAATTACGTAAGGTTAACTGGACTTCGGATATATGTACCATATATATATTTATGTAAAAATCGGATTCCGATCAGTGAATCTAGAAACGCGCACACAAAATTTAAGACTCGCGAATTATGACGCAGAAAAAAAAATAAATGAACACAAAAAGACAGCAAACAAGGCAGCAACAACAAATGTGATAAAAAGGAGAGGTGAAGAGGCGGTGGAGAAAGCGCGGGGGTGGGAGTGAGAAGGCGAGAGAACGTCTCGTTTTTTATCCCCTCTCTCGCTTGCTCCCTCTTTATTCTTAATCGCCTGCTCTTCTTTGTTTCTCAGCGCTTATGCACATTAATTATTATTTATTTGAATTTATGGCGAGCACTTTTGTTTTTGCAAGTAAATTGACTAAATAAATAAATAGTTGCTGCCGAATAAAAAAACACACGCGACAACAACAACAACGCGAGGCGTGTCGCTTTGTCGCCCGACAGTGTTGTTGCTGGTTTTTATATTTTAACTTAATTCCGATTTTTGATTTTTGCGAAGACTCAAACGCACCAGATAAAAGACACAAACCGTTTACATATTACACGGACACGTGAATGCGGGGCAATTTCGGACTGAAGATAAGCAATTGGTCCTACGAACGAAAAATTTCACAAACAAATTTCGTCAACGCGCAGCCCACAAATGTTGTTTTTCTGTTAGTTCGACGTTTCGCTTACATTTCTCTGTTGGTTCGTTTTCCTAACATTTCTCTGTTAGTTCGTTTTCCTAACATTTCTCTGTTAGTTTGACGTTTTCCTAACATTTCTCTGTTAGTTTGACGTTTTCCTAACATTTCTCTGTTAATGCGAAGTTTTCCTAACATCTCTCTGTTAGTTTGACGTTTGCCTTACATTTCTCTGTTAGAGGTGGATAAAGTCGATGTCATCGAAGTTTCAAAAAATTGGTCTATCGATGGAATATTCCTTGGTTATCCATCTCTAACGATATATGCACACTGTTTACTAAATTTTTTGCACTGTTAACACAGCTGCTTAAGGTGGTATTCTGGTATAGAAATTTAAAAAAATTGATTTCTTTGCATAGTTTGAATGTTTAGACATCTAAAAACATGATCCTTAAAAGATTTTTCAAAATTGGAATTATTTTTGGAGACAGAGCCAATTCGGTGACGGCCAGGACTACGGCCATTGGAATCCTTTCCTAATCTTTAAACGCGTTTTTTTTCAAAATCATTTTTTTTAGGTGGTTGGGAAGATTTTTCAAGTTCTATTGAACCGATTCCGTTGAAATTTGGTATATATGTATGTATCTTGTTTATACTACTCTCTATCCCGCCTGCCTCAGACTTGATTTTGATTTTGGGTATTTTTAAAATATTTGAAAAGGCCGAAAAAAAAAACATTTTTTGATTTCAATTTTTATTTTTATTTTTAATCGACATCCACTCCAGGACTGTATCTCGGGTAGGGGGTAGGGTTTTAAAGGTGAAAAATGCCTTTTTTTATGATTGTTTTGCGGCGACAGCTATTACTATTGTAGAAAGTCTAGTAGAGAGTCGATCTAGCCATGTCCGCCTACAAAATTTTAAAAATTATATATAACTTTGCTGTTTTTTAATTTTTATGTTCTTCGACATTTAGTAATGGTTAAATTACAGTTTAAATTTAAAAAAAAAATCATTTCCATGGAAACAACAAAAATATTCTATTATTTTAATAATTCTTTTTGACTTATTAATAATTTGACAGTTCAAAATTACGCTTTTAATTTTATTAAAATTTGGAAAACGATATCATATAGCTGACATAGGAAATATCGAATATTTGAGATGCAAATCCTCATAGCTTCAATGTTTTTAAAGATTTTGTTTATGTTTATGTTTTCAAGAATATTTAATATTTGCAATAGCTGCAAGGGTATATGTCTATCAGAATTATATAGAAACTATTTTTTTAAATTTTAAGCTCATGCTCTTACATTATGTACTTCTTACCTTCCTAACATTGAATTTCAGGATTGCTTTTTACGCTCATCCTCCCTATGAGTCATCGATAAGAACCATAATCATTATTAATATGTTAAATATATCCTTTGTAAACTTTAAATATGTTTTATTCAAAATTATGGTGTTTAACTTTTACCCTTTATTCGATTTAAAAAAGAAAACCCTAGTTAACTTTTGTTTTGTACAATTATTATTCGTGTTCGTAGAAAATACAAAATATCAAAGGGCTCAAGCACGTTGACACGGAGAAAGTGGGTTAAAAACGAATCCAAAGAACTTATTGCACATGTGTGTTGTGTTCGCGTGAGTGTATAAATAAATAACGTAATATATCGAGGATTTCCATAGCAGAAGAAGATAGTTCACACAGCTCCTTCGTCTAATCTAACTAGGGTATTATTTCGATTAAGGTTTCTCGTTTAGGGGCTGGATGGATCCGATGGGATCCTCCGGGGGATTCCCCTTCACAGCTTCCGTATACTGCGATCTGCCGCCGCCGAATTAAGTTTGGTTCTGCGAAAATAAGTTAAAAAAAATTATTAGATTTGTGGAAAAGGGTATCCCGTCATATAGAACAATATCAAAAACAAGCTTCAAACAGTTTCAGGCCGAATCTTAACGCAATAAACTGAACCTTCAAGAGAAGTTGCATTAGTATCGATCGGAGTGCGATCAAAACCGAGCGGGAGGGGGGTGTTAATTTAGTACACAACACAGTGGAGCAGAACAAGAAACTTCATGCGATTGCGGTTGGCAGCTTACCCCGATTTCCCAGTTGCCGAAGGGTCAACTGGAAAACGCTCGAACCTCTCAAAACTTCTGCTGATCGAATCTAGAACCCTGGAGTTTTTCTCAAATCGAAGGAGAATTGTCTGTGTGTGTGTTCTTTGAAATATTTGGCGTCAGAGTGACCCGCACATCGCTTGGGGAGCATTTAAGAATGGTATTTTACTGGCTAAAGGTGCTGTGATGTTGCTGAAGACCCCTTCTACTCCTCACTGGCCATCCTGTGTCCATGTGATGGGGTGTGGATGGTCGGTGGTCGGTGGTTTTCGTATTTGGTGAGGAGTGCGATGAGAAAAGAGCTCAAATTAGTGCCCAGCAGTAATATACACAAAATGAAACAGCGTGACCAAGCGAGGTGAAGGTGCGATTATCTTGGATGCTAGCGTAAGCCGAAAAAACAAAGACGAATTCTCCACTTCTGACGCAAATTCAGAGGAATGAGTAAATCAAAAATTGCTCTTGGTAAATATCAAACTGCATTTGGCGGACTCAAGACTTTTACAAAAGAATAAATATTTAAATAGCTGGGTTGGACACAAAATAAGGAACTAGTTAACTAGGTTCAGATCTCTCTCTGTGAGTACCGGAAATGACGTTCTGTTGGGGTGTGTGTGTGTGTGGTGTGTGCGTTTTTGTGTGTGTGTTGTGTGTGGAAAGAGAAAATAAAACGAAATCAATAAATTAGTATTTGGGTATTGGCTGGCTGGCAGCTCCCTCAAAAAACGGAATCGGTAAGAGGGTGTCCAAAAAGCTGGCTGGCATGAGGATGCACTTACAGTTCCATGGAGAGCACCGTGGGATTGGGACATGCTTGGGGCGCCCGTATGTGACACTGCTTGTGACAGATCAGCTGGCAGTCGCGGCACTCGTAGCCCTGTTTGCCCGGCCTCCTCGGGATGGACTTCATGCAGATGGAGCACTGAAGACCGCTTCTGCAAATGACAACGAAAAGTTTTTGGTATTAAAAAAATAAAACAAGAAGTCCATAAATAAAGCACCTGTTAAGTTTGAAAGTTTCAAAATATTACATATCGTGAGATAATATTAAATTCCAACAAATAAAAATTTAATATAACCATAAACACTGTGTACTACCAAAATACTTTAAACGTTTTCAAAGAAATCTCTTTTAGATTTTAAAAATGATTTAAAAAAAAAAAAACAGCCACTCTTCTTATGACTTGTCAATTCTCCAAAAATAATTTTAAAATTTCATATATATTTTTCTAACTTTTGTTTATTTGGAAAATCAAATTATTCTGTATCTTTTGCATAATTACAAAAAAATAAAATATTTGTTCATGTTTTGATAGCATATCGAAAAAAACGATTTGATGTTTTGGAATAGAAGTGATTTAAATTTTAGATAGGTTAACATTTATAAAAGTTTAAAAGTTCGAATAATATTTTCCAGGATATCTTAAACCTTAAAACTGTATCTTTTGTTAATTTTTATTTGGAAGGACAAAATTTTAAGATTTGTACAAAATCAGAAAACTTACCCGCTCAAATGCTTGGCGATGAAGGTGTGATCGTTGTAGATGTGCAGCTTGGTGCCCTTGCGACGCCAACGCGGTCTCTGGGCGATGGCCAAAGGCACAATGAAGTGGCTAAGAGGAGTCGTTAGTAATGGAAGTTGGAAGTTCATGTGTGTGTGATCCAAACTCACCGCTTCACGCCATTCTCGATGGTCTCCAGCACCAGAGTGGAGGCCTCGTGCACATAGGTTTTATTGCTGGCCGATGAAAAGCCTGAGATGGCCGAGGATTCTGAAATTGAGGAGCGGCGTGAGTGGTCGGTGATGGAGTGACCAATGCCCATGCGGGGTCCTGCGTTTTATTTATTTTTAGTGTGTGTTTGGATATATGGCAAGTTGAGAGTGGCAAGAGTGGCAAGAGTGGCACACAAACCAAGCACCCGTTAAGACCCATCAAATCATATTTTGCATATATGGAAATAAACAAAAGAAAAGAAAAGAATACGGAAAGAGTATGAGAAATAATTAAAATCAAGTCGAATTAATGAATTATAAAAGAGGCCGTTTGCCAACCGATCGTAAGCAGATCCAAAATGTAAAATACCAAAATCCAAAAAAAAGCCAAATATTTACAAAATATTTTCAAAATGTTCAACCGTGTTTGTGTTTTCGGTTGGAATATGTGTTTGGTGTGTGTGTGTGTAGGAACCATGGAATACATACAGATTCGTGTTGTGGATCACAGTTCGGTTAGCAGTTGATGGGGAAAGTGTTAGGGGAGAGAAGATAAAACAGACAACAGATATACATATAGATACATATACAAATACAGAAAGGTTAATAATACATTAAAGTTCAAGCTTTAGGTACGACTATAAACAAACTACTTAAATTGAAGGGGAAAAAGCAATTTACACAATACTTTAAATATACATGAGAAATGGTGTATGGAACGTAATGATTTTGATCGAAATGTACTCCCACTCTTAATTTATATTTTGAACTATAGTACACTTTTAAAAGACAGTTTTTTTTTTAAATTAAAACAAATTTTGTTTAAGCAAGTGTTCTTGTTTATACCATCCTAGATTTAAAAGAGCAGAGAGCTATTATAATTATTGAAAGTTGGGTTAAAATTATAGTATTTTGTCTCATGACTCTGCTCTATAATTTAATCACCGAACTAAAGTTAGGTAAATATTAAAAAGTTAATAGTAATAGAACATTTAAGAGTGCAGTAAGCAATTAATAATTGGGATAAACAGGTAAAATGCCGTGATCTCGAATGAGATATTGAATGTGATGCATGTTCCGTATCGCAGAATGCAGGAGTAGTCCAAAAAATGTGCGTTAAGCCGGGCTCAAAATAGTTAAAACGTGGCGGACACTGGCGGTTTGGAGGATTGTGACTGGATGGTAATTA